ACTACTATATCCCAAGCTACCAGAACAATGCCTAATATGTAGAGGTACTCAGAAAATATTTAATGGGTGAATAATAAATAAAAATTAAAGACAGGGCCAAAGGAAGTCAGAATGGCCATCAGTAAAAAGTCCACAAATGATAAATGCTGGAGACAGTGTGGAGAAAAGGGAATGCTCTTACACTGCTGGTGGGAATGTAGTTTGGTGCAGCCATATGGAAAACACTATGGAGATTCCTCAAAAAACTAAAAACAGATTTACCATATGATCCAGCAATTCCACTCCTAGGCATACACCTCGAGGGAACTAATTTGAAAAGATACATGCACCCCAATGTTCATACCAGTGCTATATACAAAAGCCAAGACATGGAAACAACCTAAATGTCCATCAACAGATGATTGGATAAAGAAGTTGTGGTATATATATGCAAAGGAATACTACTTAGTGACAAAAAAGTATAAAATAATGCCATTTGCAGCAACATGAATGGACCTGGAGATCATCATTCTAAGTGAAGTCAGCTAGAAAGAGAAAGAAAAATATCATATGACATCACCCATTTGTGAAACCTGAAAAAAAAAGGAAGAATAAAGAAAGAAAGAAGACACTAATAAACTTATCTACAAAAAAAAAACCAGACTTGCAGACATAGTAAACAATCTTATGGTTATTGGGGAAGGAGGTGGGATGGGATCAATTTGGGAGTTTGAGATTTGCAAATGTTAACCACTATATATAGAAAGATAAACAAATTTCTTCTGTACAGCACATGGAACTATATTCAATATCTTGTAATAACCTTTAATGAAAGAATATGAAAACAAATGTGTGTGTGTATGTGTATATATATATACACACACATGCAAGACTGGTACATTATGCTGTACACCAGAAGTTGACACATTGTAACTGACTATACTTCAACTTAAAACAATTTTAAAAATTAAAAAAAAAAGACAGGGCCAAAGGAGAAAAATAAGAAACCTGGAAGAAACAAGAGATGATAAAGATTGTTTTTAAAACAGTATCATTGGGGGAAGTGAAATAACTCAGTGGTAGAGTGCGTGCTTGGCATGCCTGAAGTCTTAGGTACAATAACCAGTACCTCCATTAAAAAAATATATATAGATATATAGATATATATAGATAAATATATATATAGAATTAAATCCTCAGATATAAGAGAATAAATTGCACCCATGAAACAGAAAAGGAATGCTATAACAGCAGCAGCAACAAGAACTAAAGAACAAAGGATTAAAAATTCTTAGGAATTAAAATTCACATCTGAAATTTTTTTTAAAAAATCAGTAAGAGGTTAGAGGTTCGAGAAATCCCAGAGAGAACAAAAGTCCAAGAAGATGAAAAACTCAAGATAAAAGAAATCTAAAGGATCAATCCAGAAGGTCAACTTAACTAATATATATTTTAAGAATGAAGTAACAGAGAAAATAAGGAGACAAAATTTAGGGGTAAACATATTTTAAAATATTCTAGAAAAGAAGGATATGAGTTTTCAGACTTTGAGAAAGCCACCTCTAGGGTTCAGCATGGCAAAGAAAAATACCTCTGAGCAAACACCACCATAACATCTCAGGACACTTGGATCAGGGGAAGATCCCAAAGCTTCTACGGTTTCCAAGCAAAGGATCAGGAATCAGAATAGAACACCTCAACAATATCAGTGGAAATTAGATAATAATGAACCAATGTTTTCAAAATTCTGAGGGTACGGATTTTTACTGTAGAAATGCCTAACCAAGCCATGAATCAACTGTGAGGCAGAATTAAGACATACTCAGAAATTCCAAAACCTGACATTCCCCTTCTCTCAGAAAGTGTCTGGAGGGTGTACTCCATCAAAACAAAGAAAAACCAACAAACAGGATGATATGAGATCCAGGAAACAGGAGATCCAAATCAGTAGAGTATAACGGAACTTCCTAAGATGTTAACAGGAAGTCCCAGGATGACAACTGTGTAAGACCTAAAGAGCAATCTCCAGATTGCAGCATAAAGAAACTAACCAACCAAATAAACAAAGAGGCAATTATTAACCCCAGGTAAAACAAAAAAATATACAAGAAGGAAATTTAATCACAGTATACCACTTGATTCAGCTTTGAACATTATTTAATCACAATAACATAAACATTGGCTTTGGATTTAACTCAACATAGTGATATAACTTTACTGTAAGGATGAGGTGAAGAAAAAGAAACAGAGGAGTATGAAATTCTTCCATAAAAGGAAGTAAATTGATAATGTCTAAAATTTGTGAATCAATAAATAGCGGTGAACTCAATAGTATTTAGAAATACAGAAATAAATACCAAAAGTAGTAGTCAAAAGGAATGTCACGGGTTATCTCTGGGGATGGATTGGGGGTCAGGAGAATTATTTGTTGTTATAAGGCTTGTAATCTCACTTTATTTTCAGACTACATACATGGATTACCCTAATAAAAATAAATATTAATTCTGGGGTGTGGGACATATTGGCACCAAACCAATACTTTCCACTTAATATAACCATAAAGATTCAAAGATACTGGAAATGAATTTCTCATCATGGGGTCCAAAATTATTTAAAATAATATCTTTTTTTTCATTTTTCAGTTTTATTAGAAGAATTGTTACAGTCTGACTGCAGATATACAATATATTGCATATAAATACATATATACAATATACTGCACATATTTTTAAATTTACATGTATGTACTGTTCAATGTTTCTAAGAAC